ATATAACACCGCTGCTGCGCGAGCTGCATTGGCTGCCTGTGGCCTTCCGGGTGCGCTTCAAGGTGTTGACTATCATCTTTAAAGCGCTCCATGGCATCGGACCCGGATACCTTCGAGACCGCCTTCTGCCGCAGATTACCTCCCATCGACCTGTACGCTCCCACAGAGTGGGTCTCCTCAGGGTGCCGTCGGCCAGACAATGCCGGCTGGCGACCCCAAGGGGGAGGGCCTTCTCTGTGGGAGCTCCCACCCTCTGGAATGAACTACCCCCAGAGATCAGGGTGATACCTGATCTCCCTTTCTTCCGCCGCGCCCTTAAGACATGGTTATTCCAGCTTGCAGGACTGGCCTAGGGTAATTTTTAGAGGGGGTTTTAATTATATTTTAATTAGACCATACTTAAATATTTCCTTTTAATTAATTTTAATCCTGTAATTGTTATCTGTGTATTTTTTAATTGATTGTTAGCCGCCCTGAGTCCGCAAGGAGAAGGGCGGGATATAAATTTAATTTAATAATAATAATAATAATAATAATAATAATAATAATTAACTTGTTACCATCTTTAGCCACTGAAAAACTGCCTTCAATATCATTCACTCATTGGATTCATACCCAAACTTATCTGGATTGATTGCCTCTTTAGTAGTCCTATTCACAGTTTAACTGTACTATGTAGCTTTCTGGTGAACTAGTCTTTAAATATTTAAAATAATATCCTACATTAATTATATTACCATAGTACATCAAAACCTATTAAAGTTTAAAACGGCATGTGAGGCCAACGCTCTAGCTATTTCTTAATTCATTAACAAATATTGCATAGATGGAAAATTCCGCCAGTTTAAGAATAGCCTTGACTGTTCCCATCCATAGAATATAAACATTCATGAAAGATCAATGTCAATGATTAATTGCATGAAAGCAATCTGTATTCTAAAATTTTAAAATTCTGCTCAAAACATATAGCAATGTAATCATATCCACAGAAAGCCCAGAACAGTGGGCCAGTGAGAATATTATATGAGTACAGGTCAAACGAGATAAAAGTGAACTACAATGGAACTATCGTTTGAGTCAGAAATCAAAAAAAGCAAAAGGCAAACAAAATTACACAATAATTATATCCTAATCCCAGCATGACAATTACTTTAAAATAACCTCAAAGCAACAGCTATCTTCATCAGATTAATAGATTAGTACCTCATCTTACCTTGCTAATGGTGTTATAGAAAGGGTGATCAGGCTCCATTGGAGGTGGAGGGATGTCATAGGAACGCCTCCATATCTTGACCTGGGCTTCACCATGTTTAGCAGCTGTCTCAGCCTTGTTAAGGCCTGTTAGACCACCATAATGCCTTTCGTTGAGACGCCATGTCCTCACTACTGGTAACCACATTTGGTCAAGGATATCCAGCACGGTCCAGAGGGTCCGGATGGCCCTCTTCTGCACAGATGTGAAGCAGATGTCAAACTCATATTTAGAATCTGAAAGAGCCAGAAAGTATAATACTGTAACTCATTTATCTTTACAGCAGTTATTGCTGACATACAGCTAATCCATCTTGACTCATTTAAACTGTAGTTCTGAAGCACCCTAATCATTGTAAAATAGCATATTAGTATGGAACCCTTATATATTCACATTTGTCCATTAATCACTTGCCATAATATGTAAAATGAGCACTGACAAAATATTTCTATGCAGCAGATAAACGGACCCGGGGGATAGAGGATTAAAATCTCCTCTTT